GTATGAGAGGGTTGATGGTTCGAAGAATCCACAAGAGCAAATTGAAAGCTAGTGAATGTAATTTTTTTTTAAAAAGGTTTGATCAAAATGTTATATAATTACACTTAAAAGGTGTGATTTAAATAACATACAATCACACAAAAAAAGTGTGATCCTTTATCTTATTTTTGTAAGTTAGTGTTGAGATTCGAGTCAATAAAAACTTATATACACTATAAAATATATTATATATATATATATAATAAATTCTATTTGAGAATTGGTTCTATTAAAACATTGTTTGATATCGACTTTAGAAAAATAAGAAGCGCACAATTTGACCACATCAATTTAGAAAGGGTTTTTTATATAATTGGCCATTCTGTTTAAGTTGAAAGTTTAAAATTAACAATTTTTAAAAGACTTACTCGCTAGTGTATATGCTTAGAAAAAAAATTAGTTAAATTTAAATATTTAAGAACTAAATTGAAATTAGAACATAAAAGGATAAGTAACTCAAATAAAATTTTGTTGTCAAATTGTGAAAGGTAAAATTTGTACAAATAGTAATTCCGGGAAACAAGTGGAATTTGAAACTCAAATTTATCTTGGTCAAGCCGAGTGGTCGAGTGATAAAGATTTGACCCCATCTTGGTTCCCCCCTCATTGTGTTAATAATAATGGGCTGGGCTTAACCTTCCGTTCGGGATCGGAATTAACAGGGGAGTGTTGGATCTGTAAGAGGTCTTATTATGAGTTTCGTTGTTGATAATTTGTATTGTTTTAATATGTAGAACTTGTCGAATTACTATATGCTTAATAAAAACAATTCATGTTTGATCAAGATTATCAGATAGCTAATCTCATCGCCGATTAGATTTTCTAGCAACTGTTATTTTTCACTGTTATATTTTTTCTTATACAAACTTGATTGATTATGCTAGCAATCAAATATCCGATCAACACTAAATTTTAATAGACATACTATACCTCCCGGGACGACATTCTATACATTAAAACGGTTCAGTTTCAACCAAACCGTGCATAGATTTTCACAAATTCAACTGGACTTTTATAATTTAATTACCAAACTGAAAGGAAGGCTAGCCCCCAATAAATAATATACTGCTCCATGAATTAAGTGGAAGCTCCACCACCATGAAGCTTTACAGCTTCTTTATTTTTTTTGATTTTTTTCTTATTCATTATCTGCCCCGTTTTTCAACGCCGCCCACAGAAGACTTTCTCTCCCAAAGAAAGTGTGTTTTTTTTCCCAACCGTGCTGGCGGACCCCTGGGCGGTGACCCCCCAGCACCCCAGTCCACATGGGGCATGTGATTGGCAGAATAGGAAAAAAAAAAAAAAAAAAAAAATTTCCAGCCAATAAGAAAACACTGGGGCGTCATGGGGGTTTGAAAAAATTGGGCGTATCCAAATCATTTTTGTTTTTTCCCCCACCTATTTATGTCAACCTGCCTTTCGTTTCTGTATTGCAAAATTGGGCCTATTTGGGCCCCATAGTGATAGACAAAGTCTAAGATCGGAAATTGGAGAATAGGAAAATTACCCAGAATGTGAAAAAAGAGTTGGGAATTAAGAGTTGATGACTGTGGTCATGTTATAGATTTAAATTATACATTGATATTTTGGATAAAAAATTTTGCCTCTTGTATGTAGTATTGTTGATATGTTATATATTATGTTTTGAAATGTATGAATCTGAAATATGCCACTTAAAATGTTGGTGGAGATTGAAATTGATAAGTATAGGGTCATATATAATGAATATATGAGTTCATAGATTGATGTTTTGAATAAATTTTGGATAAATTTTATAGTTGTGTTTAGTGCTGATGTTGTAAAATCGCTGCTTTCCATTCATGTGCCACGTTTTAACAACGTCGTCGCAAATTTTCTACTCATATATAGACTCTTGATGATTTCTGTGCAAATATAAATTGTATTATGCCCCGGAGCACAGAGAGAGAGTTTGAATAAGTCAATGGCGGTCAAGTCTCTTACAGTGCTTGTGAGTCTATCAGGGAAGAGTGACTAAGAAACTCCTATGGGGTTGTCTTTGGGCCCAACCTTCCATTTCATTGAACAATCGTAGCAGCACTTTGCTCCGGTCTTTAAGTTTGGCTCCTGTGCCAAGTCTTACTATTAAACATTTGCCAATGTTCACTGGGCGTGTTTACCAGAAGAAACAATCTATTGGTGGTTGACAATCACTAAAAATATCTCTTTGTATTTTAAGCTAAGAGCATTTCTGTCCTCTATTGCTATGGTGGTTGTTTTCGTTTGCCTGAATTTGGGTATTTCGATGGCGGTTTTTTCCTTTTCCATTTTTTCTTTCCTTTGTGTCCCCATTTAGTGATTGTTCACTCTACTCGGCAAGACGACATGGGACAAGTAACCAACATTGGTTGTCCAGAAGTCCTTCAAACTTGTGGAAAACTTGGGCTTTAATCAAATTCCCTTTCTCCAAACGACACATATCCCCGATGTGGGTTGTGTACTGTCCAATGTGTAGCGAACCAGTACCAATAATCTGATTTGGGTGACGCACCAAAACGTATTGAAGTCAAGGAATTCTTTGAATGATGAAGCCTGTAAATGTTAAGTGACAAATATCTACGAAAGCTCATAGCTCTAATAGGTTGCGACATTTTCAGTAAAATCTCTTATTTCCCTATCCTACTCCTTCTATTTCCTATAACAATCTCCCCAACCTCTCCTCCTTGTTCAAATGCCCTACAAACGGCGGCAGTAAACCTCAACTTTGCAGGACAGAAGAGTTTACAGTTTCAGCAACTGCACAGGCCTACACTGTCTATTATACAGATTCCTAATCAACATACACAAATTCCTGCCAATTCTTTCACCTGACTGTGAAGTTATTAACTACCCAAATGCTACCATCTATCCGGAGCATAAATCTTCAGTGATCTATTTTCACTTATTAGCTTATAATCTCCACCATTCGGGTTGCATGTGCTCAAAGGAATGTTACGGTGTCGCCATAATGGAGGCCAATGTCGTGTTCCTCGGAGAGTTCCATTGCATAAAGGATGAAGGTATTGGCATTCTGCATTTGCATGCTGTTATTTCTGATTAATCACCACACAAATTGAATCCAAAATCTTCAGTCTCCTCTAGCAGTTCCAGTTGATATTACGTTGGCGCGTTTTTTAATGAAGTGCTTGTTTTTTCCATTAGTTAAATTCAAGGGCATTTAAAATATAGAAAGTAAATTAATTCTGCATTTAACATGACTAACTGAATGTTTTTCTCCTTGACATTGCGCTTGCAGGAAGTCACTTGAAAGTGGTTCTAGCAACAGAGTAATATACTCTGATCAGTTTCTTAACACGGAGTAGAGTAAATATAGATGTATGCATGTTACATAAATGTTTTAAAACTTTCTTTATTCATATGCAACATTCATCACATGTTCTCAAATTTGATGGATTCAATCCACCAACTTCAGTCTATGAAAACTTTTTTTTGCTGCCCCAGTTCCCCCTTGCTTTTTATTGTTGCTTTCATAAGGATTAATGAGTGAATCAAAACCTGACTACACTTCTTTCTTCAGTCATACCTGGAGTTATCCTTCTGCTTGGCTTGCTCATACTTGCTATCCGGTATCGCAAGAAATTGAATTATGTCTCTTCAGTCGTCCTTTCAATCAACACGTCTCCCGATCCCTCCTCTAAACCAGACCTTGAAGGAGGTAGTGTCTACTTTGGGGTCCCTGTCTTCTCCTACACTGAATTAGAAGAAGCTACTAATAACTTTGATCCCTCTAAGGAATTGGGAGATGGAGGTTTTGGCACTGTATACTATGGTAAGAAGGTTCACGGTTGTTCCATCTTTCATAAAATTACCACATTTACATTTGTAATTAGCATGTTCATATTCATATTCTTATATTCACACTACTCATGCCCGTAGCACAATATTTGATCTTTTCTCAACCAGGAAAACTCAAAGATGGGCGGGAAGTTGCAGTCAAGCGCCTATACGAGCACAACTATAAGCGAGTGAGGCAGTTCATGAATGAAATTGAAATCCTCACACGTTTGCGCCATCACAATCTTGTCACCCTTTATGGTTGCACCTCTCGACTGAGCCGGGAACTCCTCCTCGTCTACGAGTACATTCCTAATGGCACTGTTGCTGATCATATACACGGTGATCGTGCAAAGGATCGACCACTCGTGTGGTCTATCCGCATGAGCATTGCCATAGAAACAGCCAGTGCATTGACTTACCTCCATGCTTCTGACATCATCCACCGCGATGTAAAGACTAACAACATACTCCTTGACAACAATTTTTGTGTCAAAGTTGCAGATTTCGGGCTTTCCAGGCTTTTCCCCAATGATGTCACTCATGTCTCAACAGCTCCACAAGGGACTCCTGGTTATGTTGATCCAGAATATCACCAATGTTACCGACTTACGGATAAGAGTGATGTTTATAGCTTTGGCGTTGTGCTCATTGAGCTCATATCATCAATGACAGCTGTTGACATTAGTAGGCATAGGCATGAGATTAATTTGGCTAACTTGGCGATAAACAGGATCCGACATCGTGCATTTAATGAGTTAATTGACCCATCTCTTGGGTTTGAGTCAGATTCTTCGATTGAGAGGATGACTACCATGGTGGCAGAGGTGGCTTTCCAGTGCTTGCAACTTGAAAAGGAAATGAGACCTACAATGGAAGAGGTTTTGAGGGCTTTGAAGGAAATTCAGGATTCCAAAGATGAGAACACTGGGGACGTAATAGAGAATGCTGAGGTGTTGACGAGTACACGGCCACCTCCTTCACCTGAGGGTGATAATATTGTGTTGTTGAAGAATGGCAAGGAGCTTCCTTCACCAGATGCTGTGACCGATAGATGGGTTAGTTCCTCTTCCACATCCATTTCCAGTGGTTAAGGCTTCATTTCCCTCTGCTTTACTTTAAAGGTAGTAAAAGCTAAGAAAATGTTCGACACTCATATCATGTGCATGAAAGTGGTTTGTATTCCTCCTCTTTTTTTCATTTATTTTTATTTCCTCACCTATGTTGTTGATATAGATCAGCTAATTATATTGAGGGAATGTATATAGTAAATGGAGTTTTTATCAGTATACATGTTCATATTTGGAGATATCTGAAGTCATGGCTCAGTTCACAATGAATTTCTGTTGACTTTCTACTAATCTAGGATGTATATGATCTTTGTAGCATTTTTATTTTGGGTAAAAGGAAATGGATGAAAAAGAAATTTAAAAAATAATGAACTTGAAAAACCAAAATATTGTTGTTATATTCTGTATTAAGAGTTAGGCCGACTACTAATATGTTCTGCCAATGGTTGGATGGCTCATGATGGTTCAGTTAAAGATACAAACAAATGAAAATTTGATACTTTTTTTCAATTTTTTTTAATTTTTTTTTTCATTACAATAACATGAATAAGACATCTATTTGCCATGGTTCTACTGGTTACAATTGCCAGTGAAAACAAGAGAAGATGAATCCAGTTGTAGTTTAGCCACATGAGAGGAAATCTTGGACATTTTGGAATTACAATTGCTCAGAATGACAAACAAAAGTGACCAAAGTGTGTGTGAACATTATCATGAAGGTACATGTTTTGTGCAATAGGAAAGACATGTTGCATCGGTACATACTAATTGTGTTTAGTTACTGATGTGACACTTATCATATTTCAGTTTCTAAAATTTTATTATTGAATGACATATGAGTTAGTAAGATATGTTTCTTTTTTTTACCCAAAAGACAATATAAGAGAGGGGTGAATTAGATTTTTATAATTAAAATTAATAATATTCTAATAAAAATTATGACTAGTACAATTGATAAATATAGTCAATAAATTAAAACAAGTGTTCTAACAACTATGTCAGTTAATGATTTTAGCACAGTGAAAATATAAAATATAGTTACAACAATTTAAATAAAATAAAGAGATAAGAGAGAGAGAGACAAACAAATTTATAGTAGCTCAGCTTCAACTCGGCTTACGTCTACTCCTGAAACTTCACTTGAGATTTTCCACTATGTTCTACCTTCACAGGGGTGCTAGCAACCTCTTTACAAATGGAGCAATCCTCCACGGATTTTACACAAACTTTCTAAGTCAAGGACCCTCAGTGTACTACACTCTTACAAGGTTGAAAAGAAGGTGTTTTTTATTTCACAGAAAGCTACAACACTACAAGAAAAGGGGGTAAAAAACACGGAAGTATTAGCGACGGCAATTTTCCCGTCGCAAAAAATGGTTTTTTGCGACGGCAGCCTCAACCGTCGCAAATGAGGGCTTTAGCGACGGCATTGTCCCTGTCGGTAATAAGAAATGCACGGTAGGAAGTAAATGCATCAGTATTAGCGACGGTTATTTTTACCGTCGCCAAAAGCAATTTTTTGGAGACGGCGTACGGTTGCTGTCGCGAATATTTTACATATTGCGACGGCAATTGTCCGTCGCAAATAAGTGTAAGTTAAACGGCGTCGTTTTATGCATAAATTACTTGACATTTGCGACGGTGTAAAACCTACCGTCGCAAAAAGTGAATTTTTTTTTCCCCGCTCTTCATCTTGCCGCTCGATCAAAAGTGAAACCTATATCCAAATCCCTAAATCTGTGAAACCAAGTTCTTTCCCCCAAATCCCTGCAAAGCCGAGCGGCGAACGGTGGTGCGGTGGTGCGGCGGTGCTGCGGCGAGGACGAACGGTGGTGCGGTATGCTCTCTCTCTCTCTCTCTCTGTATAGATATATACATGTATCATATATATATATACGTATATAAATCTGTATCATCTATATATATATATATTGATAATATTTACATTATGAAATCTGTATATATATATATAAATCTGTATCAATATGTATATATATAAATCTGTCTCATCTTTATATATATATATATACATTATTAAATCTGTATCATCTTTATATATATATATATATATATATATATATAAAAATATGTAAATTAATATGTATACATTATTAAATCTGTATATATACATTATTAAATCTGTATCATCTTTATATATATATATATATATATATATATATAAAAATATGTAAATTAATATGTATACATTATTAAATCTGTATATATACATTATTAAATCTGTATCATCTTTATATATATATATATATATATATATATATAAAAATATGTAAATTAATATGTATACATTATTAAATCTGTATATATACATTATTAAATCTGTATCATCTTTATATATATATATATATATATATATATATAAAAATATGTAAATTAATATGTATACATTATTAAATCTGTATATATACATTATTAAATCTGTATCATCTTTATATATATATATATATATATATATATATAAAAATATGTAAATTAATATGTATACATTATTAAATCTGTATATATACATTATTAAATCTGTATCATCTTTATATATATATATATATATATATATATATAAAAATATGTAAATTAATATGTATACATTATTAAATCTGTATATATACATTATTAAATCTGTATCATCTTTATATATATATATATATATATATATATATAAAAATATGTAAATTAATATGTATACATTATTAAATCTGTATATATACATTATTAAATCTGTATCATCTTTATATATATATATATATATATATATATATAAAAATATGTAAATTAATATGTATACATTATTAAATCTGTATATATACATTATTAAATCTGTATCATCTTTATATATATATATATATATATATATATATAAAAATATGTAAATTAATATGTATACATTATTAAATCTGTATATATACATTATTAAATCTGTATCATCTTTATATATATATATATATATATATATATATAAAAATATGTAAATTAATATGTATACATTATTAAATCTGTATATATACATTATTAAATCTGTATCATCTTTATATATATATATATATATATATATTGATATATATATATATATATAAAAATATGTAAATTAATATGTATACATTATTAAATCTGTATATATACATTATTAAATCTGTATATATATATA